GACCCGCAGATTGCGAGTCGAGCGCCCTAACCACCTGGCCATGCCGGGCCAAGGGAGTAAGTAGAGAGAGATAATTGCGATTTATAAGAACTAATTGCATGTGCTAATGTAGTGATGTACTGACTCAGGTGCAAGCCTTGGCACCACGGGCGATGTATTTTGCAGCTATATATATATATTTATTTTACCGTGAAATGCCATAATGGATAGACATATGGCTGGAGAGTTATGCCATAGTCTCTTCATGGGAAAGGTATTTGTATATTGAATCTGTTAAACGATGTAAAACTAAAGAACTCACTGTTTAGAATAAGGGAGTATTCAGTGTTCCCCATGAAAACAAAAAAATAGCAGAGAGTTTAGAGCAGCGACAAGCTCCGAAATCTCTCCTTAAACCTCGGTACATAGATCCAAAAAAAAAACTAGTGTGATGAAGCTGGTCATATCTTCGGTTACCGTTAAGAATGTAATGAACGAGGAGTTTAAGTTAACGAATGTTCACAAATGAAAAGTACGCTAGGTTCCATACACTCTTCGAAATGGGAAATATTGTAGAAGAGGCTGAAATATCAACAATCGCATTCGATCATGTATTTGTAAGTTACACCAACGCATCTCCAAAGGCCTTTTTTTGCCTTTAAACTGTGGAAAATTGTGAGGTTTAACCACTGTCCTCTGTAGAAATTTGTTACAATGGAAATCATAGTATTGGACAATAGAGCCAAATCATGGAAATTAGAATGAGCATGATTTAAGATTGATGAAATAACTCCAAGAGTAGCACAGTACATGAAACACCATTCTAATAAAGTGTGATTAACCCACAATTTCACTAACTACATTTTAAGAATGGGTATGAGTCCCGGTGAAAAGTATTAATTTCTGGAATACTCAGTAAATGTCAACGCAAGAAAGTGTCTTAATTTAGTAATATTGTAAGAACTCATTCATTAATATATTATTGTTTTGAATATCATATTTATACAAATCGAGAGGTAGGGAAAATCTATGGTTCTTTACCTATTAAATCTATTGAAACATTATGGTTAGTTAGAAGTTCCGTTTAATCTAAACATAATTTTACGTGTGTACTTCTAGGAGGGTTGTTATTCGTGTTTGAAAAATAATTCCGACGTAAAGTTTTTGCCAGAAATTTTATTTGAAATAATCATCTTTATGACTTACAGTTTTCATCAAATACCTGTTAAGTAACGTAGCCAGACATAAATCAAAACTAAGGAGGAGATAAGAAAATGTCTAGATCTCATAGGAGTTCAAGAGTACTTGAACACTTTGAAAATTATGGTCATTTCATCAGTTAGTTTCAGATATTCCCACAAAACTACACGAAGGCTACTTATGCTAGCCGTTTATAACTTTTAACTCATAGACTAGAGGGAAAGAAACTTGTAAACAATACATGCACAGCCAGTTACTCAAATCGATCAGTGGGATTTGACCGTCACTCTTATAATGCACTCAGGGCCTCAAAGTGCAGAGAGCGATTTTGTGGTAACGAGATACGAACCACGGATCCTCAGATTCACAGTCCGGTACATTAACCACTCGTCATTTAAGCAACCGGCTGTTTACAAGTTAATACTAAGGTGACTTTTAACCACAGTGATTACTTTCATCGTATAATATTAACAGTTTGTAAAACACAGCAATAACAA